GATGAGTGGAGATCAATTCATCGAGTAGCCACTTTGGAATCCTACCTTTTCTAAGCTCAGAACAAATACCCCTTCTCACAACATGTAGCAGAATAAACTGGGGCCCTAAACCCTTTAGATTCAAAACTATGTGGAATCTGTACCCCTCAATGACGGAGATCATGAGAAACTCGTGGGCAAGATAGCTTAGAGGATCCAGAGGCTTAAAAATTCATGCTAAGGCTAGAGAAGTGGCAAAAAATTTAAAATTGTGGAAACAAAATAATTTTGGTAATATTTTTAAAGAAAAGAAAGAGCTTATAGACAGGATGAAGTCGGTCCAACTGAACCTATAAAATAAAAACGACAAAATAATGAAAATATTGGAGATCCAGAGTTTCCAGGCTTCAAAATAATGAAAATATAAGAGCTTTTTTCACATGATATCAATGGCTAGAAAATATAAGAATAAAATAATGAAGACTAAGGCTCAGTCCAATGAATGGAAAGTTGAACCTCATCAAATCAAAAAGGTGTTAACAGATGACTTTAAGATTCAATTTCAACAAGGAGAAACTGATAATATAGATCAGTTTTATAGGTGCTTCAGCCTATCCTGACAGAAGAAGAGAATAGTAAACTAGAGCAAGAAGTACATATGGAAGAAATGGAAGAAGCTCAGAAATTGATGGGTGACTTCAAGGCTCCAAGACTAGATGGCTTAAATGCCAATTTTTTTATAAACTATTGGGGCATCATAGGGGGAAGTGTTGAGACACTAAAAAGCTTTTTTTACTCAGGGAAAATGACAAAACAGTTAAATTTCACCTACGCAACTTTAATATCAAAAATAAAAAATCCAAAAAATCATAACATTTCAGACCTACAAGTCAGTGCAATGTCATCTACAACTTAATAGCAAAAAATTCTCATAAATAGAATCAAGCCAATGTTAGGAAAATCAATTTCTCCGTTTCAATCGGCTTTGTCAGGAAGACTTAATTTGGACAATGTTCTAATAGCTCATGAAATTCTTCATACTATGAAGAATAAAAAAGGTAGTACAAGGCTTGCATCAGGAAATCTCTAGAAAAGATGGGACTAAATCAAAAATGGATTAACCTAGTGATGGAATGAGTATGAGCGTATCCACTGCTAGTTATCAAATCTTAGTCAATGGATCCCCATGAGAAAGATTCTACCCCTCAAGGGGGTTAAGACAAGGAGATCCTTTATCACCCTACCTTTTTGTACTTTGCAGTGAAGCTTCATCGAGGCACATGAATGCAGCAAGAAATTAAAAAAAAAAAAAAAAGTAGCCTTGGGGATCAAACCAGCAAGTGGCCCAAATATCCCAATATTGCAGTTTACTGATGATTGCATGATATCTCCAAAGCATCTATTGATGCAAGCCTAAGTCAAAAACATTTTAAAAAGTAGACAAGTCTTCAAAGCAACTCCCTAATTATCAAAAATCAGCTGTAATTTTTTTCCAAGAACATACCTAAAAGATAAAAAAAAAAATCATAAAAATTCCTAAGAAAGAAATGGGAGGGAAGTATCTAGGAGCCCCTCCCCTATGATAAAGGGTAGAGTGATCAAATCATCATTTTAGGCTATGTTTGGTTTGAAGGAAAAGGTAGGGAAAGGAAGGGAAAGGAAGGTACGGTAATGAATGTGTGGTTTGTAAAGGTTTCCCTACTTTTTCCTTCAAACCAAACACAGCATTAATGAATGTGTGGAAAAAGTGAAGAACAAGCTTGAAAGCTAGAGAGGTAGAACGTTATCTACTGGGGGTACGGTACGGTAATGTTAAAGCAAGTAGTTGGAAATAAGGTGCAATATAGAATGAACTTATTCCAATTCCAAACTACTAGAAAGCAGGATAGACTTCAACGGAATTTCTTATGGGGAAACAAAAAAGATAAAAAAGCCCTGTGCCTTGAGAAATGGAAACAAATAACAATGCTCAAATCAAATGGGGGACTAGGCATCAAGACAACTTAATGAAACTTGGGTGGAGAATCCTTAACAAATGAGGATAGCATTTGGGGAGAAGTCATCAAAAAGAAATACTAAAAGATAAAGATGTCATGCAAGCATCTTTGCCAAAGAAAGCTTCTTGGGCTTTGAAAGGAATTTTTAAGCAAAAAAACATTGAAGAAATGTTTCTTCTGGGAAAATGGTAGAGGGCACACTTGTAATCTGTGGGAGGATAATTGGAATTCAAATAAACCCTTAAAAGATTTGGTCCATAGGATGGAAGAAGTTCCAATGAAGGAAAATGCCAAGGTGAGTTCAATCATAGATGGTGAATCAAAAAACTGGGATCTTAACAAATTAAATAGAATGTTCAAAAACTGAAATCCAAGCCATAGTCCTCCCTTCTCAAGAAAAACAAGACGAGCTTTGGGGTTCTAATCTATGTGGTAAAATTATGGTGAAATCAACCTATGCCATGCTCAATGAAGAGGATGAAGCCAACAATCAAATAAAAAAAAATCTCAAAAATTTGATAAAATTATATTCTCTACAAGGGAAAACATGCACAAGAGAGGCTGCAACTGTGACCCAGACTGTCAGTCTTGTAGAAATCCAGAAACTCCAATCACATCTTCATAAATTGCCAAATAGCTAGACAAGTTTGGAGAGCTCTTAATATTCAATTTCCGAACCCAAATCAGGATCAGCATCTCTCACTAGTGAAATGGTGGATAGAATTAATTGAAAAAAGAGTTTGAGTCAGTCCATTATTTATGGGAAAACATAGGCTTTATCCTTTGGTACTCGTGGAAGAACAGAAATGAAAAAATGTTTACTGAGAAGAATTTTCAGGCCTCCAAAAGTAATAACCAAAGCTCTCCAAAGCTGTCGAGACTATATAGAAGCCCAAAAGGAGATGCATTTAGTCCAAGAAAAAACGAATAATTTGCATTTCCAAACCTTGTATTTGCACTGTACATATTGTATTTGCAATCTTCCAAAACTGAGCCTTATGGACAAATACCTAAAAAAGAGAGTAGGCAAAACATATATGCCATGTAATTTTAATAATAAATAGGAGTGCAAATTAAGATATACTTATAATTGGAGACCAAGAGATAATTCAATGTGAGCTTTTCTATTACCTTGGTTTTTTTTATTTTTTTGGATAATAAAAAAAATGTTAAAATAACAGAAAAGAATACAAAGGAAGGTGACCAATAGTCAAATAAGAGAAGATAAAACCACCCTACTTCTCCAAAACTAGACCCAAACTAAAGGAAATCAAGACAACCAAACCCTCAACAAAAGGAATCCACCACACCAACAAACACCTCCCTTACTACCTTGGTTTATAATTCAAGACAAAGGTGAGATTGAAGATGTCATCCATAGAATTAGAGTATGATGAGCAAAATGGAATGGTGCGTCCAATATCTTACATAATGCATGAATACCACTTGGCTAAAAGGAAAATTCTACAAAACAATTGTAAGGCTAACAATATTTATGGAAAGTGTTGGGTTGTCAAATAACATTTCTAAAAGATGAATGTGACAAAGGTCTAGTACAAGACCTAAACCGTCACCAGAATGGAAACCTCCTCAAGAGGGTATCATTAAGCTCAACCTTGATGGCAGCAGTTTAGGCAATCCGGGTCCTTCTGGTGTTGGGGGAGTGTTTAGAAATACAGAGGGGCTAATCATCACTTTATATTCTGGCCCTATAGGAGTAGGGGATTCAGTCAATGCAGAAATTCAAGCAGTTTACAAGGAGCTGAATTTTCCAAAGAACCAAATTGTGAACGGCTGTTAATTGAAGGTGATTCCAAGTTGGTGATCCAATGGTTAAAAGAACCACAAACAGCAGCCTGGTCCTATTAAGGGGCTTTATGAAGATTCAAATGGCTAACTACAAACATGTCAGTCCAATTCCAATGGGAAAGATCAGCAAATGGGTTAGCAGATTCACTAGCTAAACAAGGGGTGCATAGGAATCAGATGCTTTGGGCTAAACTGTAAATCTTGCTTTAATCTGAGGCTGCATCTCATGCCTCATTTTGGGAACTTTCTCTCGGTATTTTTTTTATGCTCTTAATCTAAATAAAATCACTCAAGATGAATGTTGCAAAAATGCATATGCTAAGATGGATGAGTGGAAAAACTAATAATAGGATCAGAAATGAAGGAGCCTGCATGTAGCTCCAATAGATGATAAGATGAGAAAAAATAGATTCAGATGGCTTGCTCACGTCCACAGAAGACCATGTACTGCCTAGGAAGAAGCAATTTGTGCAAGTTTCCACAGCTAAAAAGGCTTGATAGACCAAAAAAGGCATCACTTTAAGTAATAAGAAACGACTTAAGCACACATAACTTAAAACCAAATGGACGGCAAAACAGGATTCATGTAACCAACCCCATATAGTTGGAACAAGGCTTATATGATGGTCATGATATAGAATAGAAACTTAATAAAAAAGACCTACTGGCTGCTGTTATATATAGAATAGAAGCTTGGCTTCTACTACATGATATAAGAATCACAAAGATAATGATACAAACAGCTTTGCTAATTAGTGGCTCAGATTCTAGGGTGATCTAGGCCCACCCGTATATATGGGACAGATTCCTGGTGAAGAAGAGAGGGTGTGCTTATGAAAAAATTCTACATTTGTATTGTAATAAACCATAATGCTCTCCTGCATGTCAAGTAGGGTTGTCGCTCATATATAGTATGCCCAAATCAGTAGCTTTGTTGTTTCTTCTGTTTTGTTTGGATGTCTTTCTGACACCTCATACACACATTGAACAAGAATTTATTTGATGAGACCGAGCAGGATGATTCTAAACACATCTTTCAAAACATTGAAGGTAAGCAATATCTGAAGTTTAACTGTGCAGAATAATACAGTAATAGAAATACTAAATTTGAAAAAAAGAAAAACTTTGTAAAGCAAGACAATAGAAATACGCTCTGAAAAAATAAATAAATAAAACTTCAACTGTGCAGAATACTAACTTATTACAAATTCACCGTAATAGAAATACTAATTTATTACACAATGTAAAGAAGGTCAAAATATTAAGACAGCAAACTGGTGCATCATAAACAACTGTACTGTAATAGAAATACTAACTTACACGTTCACTGAAGTAAGAAGGTAAAACATTAAGACAGCAAACTAGTGTCATATACAACAATTCTAACTACACACCAAAACTCAATTTTGTGTCCAGAGTATCTTTTAGGAATCTTACCAATTAGAAGAGAGATCTTTTACCAATTCATGGCATTTACATAGTGATAATTGGTACAACAAATGAACACTAATACCATTAATGCCAGTAAGATTATGTGAGTCAGTATCTGGAATTCTGGATACAAAAAGCACTCAAAAACTAGTATCCTTGACTAGACTGGCGAAAACTATTGAATGTTGCCCCAAGAACCCGCCGACTATAATTATAGTTGTGGCTGTTGAAATCTGATCTAAAAGCATTAGGTTGTGCTACCCCAAGGGGAGGAGACTCTGTGTAAAAGGAAAAGGATTAGAAACGAGAAATTGAAGAAAAGATGGAATTCCATTAACAGCAGAGGGGCTATCAGAAAACCAGTTCACCTTGTGCATTATTCGAGGGGTATTCTGAAAACCTGCATGGTGGCAATAGCTTTGATGACTGCTGGAGAGTTTCTGTATTACCAATAGGTGTATGGTAAGGCCTTGGTTTATGAGATGAGTTCAACATAGGCCTAACTGGAGTTGATAAGCTCTGTGAGCTCTTGTTTTGCCCAGATATCTGTTTCATAATCCATGCATTACTTTTTTGAAACGAAAGACTCAAATAAGATACCTTTGGATATAAGAAAGCCCTCTTTTAGAAATAAAATATATCAAATTGTCAAATAGAAAGGATAACGCAACCAAGAAATAGGGTAAATTTTCTTTTAGAATTGTAACATCCACCTAGGTCTGTCAGTGGAGTCCAAAAGACCAAAACCCAAACTGGCATCTGATCCAATTATTTTGGATTCAGATGATCGATTCACATAACCGTTTGACCCCATCCAATTCAATTAAGATCCAAGCCGGATTAAATTTTATTATATATATTTATGCATATAGACAGATAACAAATATAATTATATAAAATTTATAACTAATAATATTTCATACTTGCAGTGAATGACATCATCTAAGCTGGAATGATGGTGGCAAATTCTGCCCCAGTGAAGAATATTAGTTTTCCTACTTGGTCTCCTACAGGAAGAGGATTTGTTAAGCTCAAATTTGATGGAAGCAGTTTGGGTAAGCCAGGCTTGTCAGAAATAGGAGTGTTTAGGGATGAAGAGGGCAAAATTCAAGCATTTTATTAATGATGGGATGTGGTGAGAATCCTCTTGCAAGAAGGGAAATGGAGAAGGATCAAAGAGACGGAGTCTTCCAAGAGGCAAATAGTTGGAGAACTGAGTTGGTCTTCGAAGCAAAGAAATTTCTTTTTGAACATGGAAGAATTAGAGGTAGGCTTTCGCTGAAATCAGGGAAGATCAGAGGTCGACAATTTTCTTGCCGGAGGAAGCAGTGCTTTGGTTGAAGGGCTTTGTCGATGATGTAGTTTTCTCTCTCAGAAAGGTAGGCTGGAAAAACTCCTTGGAACTATTAGGGAAGAGATTTAAGTTAAGCTGAGAAAAAATAGAAAGGGATTGGTTTCTTGCTATTACAGAAGCTTTTGATAACAATAAGAGACAGCTGGTGTGTGTGCCGGAAGGGAAGGAGAACCAGAGCTGGTTGTTATTTGTGGATTAGTTACAGCAGTTTCTCCTTTCTGTCAACAGATTATCAAATGAAGAAAAAGTTGCAAATACTGATGAGCGTGTGCAGATTCCTCCAAGACAGGTGTTAGAAGTTTATTCTAAGGAAAAGAAATCCAGAAAACAGAGCTCCACTCCTCTTGAAGTTGTGGCTGTGCATTTGACAGGTCTGCAGAGAATGCTGCTTGAGACAGGGAGAGGCAGCTGGGAACGGAGGTTGGTTTTAACTGCTGAAGAAGAAGTGAAGAATTGGGGAAAATTCTTGGATTCAGTGATGCAGGTCAATTCGGATGCTGACACAGTGTTATTGCTATTTACAGAGAGGAAGGCAGTACTGGACTTATAGCCGGAGTTTGATTTTGAGGAAAAAATTTCCACAATCTTTGAGTCCGCAGAGGGCTTGGTCCAGGTTCAGAAATGGACGCTGCAATGTAGCGCGGTGGAGGGCACTAATGGAAGCTTCCTAATAAAACTGTTAGGACTTTCATTCCATCTTTGGAGTGAGTCAAACATTGCAACCTTAGTTAATCTGTTGAGGGGTGTCTCGGAGGAGGTCAACTTTCAAGACTTAGATGCCGCAGAAGTTAGAATTTCTGGGGTAAAGCCAGAACTTCCACCCCGTTCAATTGCAAGTTCTCTCCGACGGTGCCTGTTTTCATGTCTGATTGATTTCAGAGGTGGAAGTGCATTGCTGGGGACGAAGAACCAAGGTAGATGAAGGTGTAGATGTGACAGGTTCGTGCACACGTGGAGCACAAATGTTGGCTAATTCGGCTGAACTACTAGGCCAGCCCAAATGGGAAGCTGGAAAGTCGGTGAAGGAAAACCTCTTGAGAAGTAATCTACTTAAAGTAAGAAATTCAAATAATTTTGAATTTAAAGGAATTGACGGAGGCAGAGGTTTTTTTGCTGACGTGGTTAGGGGAGGTTGTGGCCCTTCAAACAAGGTTACTCAAACCGCAGCTCCTGACCCAACCGCAAAACGAACGGGTCTTCTTTCTGAACTAGGCAATAGAAAAGCTGAATCACATGTGAACTTAAGTGATCGCGTGCCTAGGGGTAAGGAAACTCTGATCATAGACGATAGTTCTCGTCTATCTTCTTCCTCTTAAACTTTAAACCAATGGCCTTAGTCAGCCACTTAAACTTCCTCTTCTCATTGTTGTAATTCTAGAGCCCAATCTTGTCTTCCTTTAACCAGCCCACTACTATCTCTGGTTTGGAGATGCAGCAATGTTGTAGGCCTGTAAACAAGACGAAAGAGTCTCTGGTTTGGAGATCCTGTTCAGATTCAGTTTCAGTCAGCGTTTTCCACTCTACTTCTGATCATCCAAACCCAAGGCACTCGAGAGTTCATATTGAGGACAGGGAGGACGAGGACGAGGGTTAGGGCATGTAGCTTGGATGAAGCGGAAGTGGAGGAATCAGATGATTCGACCAGTCTAGGAAGTGTAGGGGAAGCAAATTTTTTGGATGAAGAAATTGCGGAGACTTTAAACTTGGAGCTGTTATTTCCAGGGGATATGGGAGGAGGAAAACAAGAAAATGCGTTGGTTCAGTCTGACAGAGGAGGAGAAGTTAATACAGTAGAGCACTTCCAGGCTAGCGGGGCTGAAAGTCTTCACCCTTATCTTGAAGATCCATTACTTACTACATCTTCTAAGAAGGAATTTAACAATGCAGTCTCTAAAGCTCATCAGAGGCAGGACGGGAGCACAATTGGGTATGGGAAGGGATCCCTGTGCTCTAGTGACAGGAAACCTTTCTCACTGAGACCTAACTAAGAGGGTAGATGACTCCTAACTTGCGAAACAGGATTTGACAACTTTTTGGTCTGTTGCTCCTTCTATTCCTCTTCCCCCCCCCCAGCAAAACCCAGGTAAATGTGTCAATTTGTTTTGTGATACTAATGGTTGCTCTGTGTCTTCAGTGCCAGATACAATTCCCAGCTTAGAGACCGCAACCCATGTGAAAGAAGGGGGAATAAAAGAAGCAAGTTGTAATAGGGAGGTTCAAAAGTTAGGAGAGGATGCAGAAGAGGAATCAAGAAGAAATAAAAGAGTTGGGGAAATTACTGAGAATTTACTGGTTGAATTTGAAGAGAGTAATTTACAGAAGGGGACAATTGGGGCAAATGCAGGAAGGGGTGAGAGGGGACGTAAAGAGGGAGAGACCAGCAAGGTAGCAAGGGGGGAGGCAAGTAGAGAGGACTCTATTGCAAACTTTGTAAGGAAACTTGGATGTAAACTAAAGAACCTTAATGATCTTAAAGCTTTCCTACAAAACACTAGAGAGGAAGTTAAGGCAAGAAAGAGGAAGCTGAGTGAGGTGGAAAGGTTAAAGAGGGATATTGAAGGAGATAAGGCATTTGGTGCTCCAGGGGAGAGGAGGAAAAGTCCTAAATAATTGGCATTGGAGTAAGGGATCAAGCTAGTAGGTTTCAATGAGAATAATTAGTTGGAATGTTAGAGGATTGGGGAGTGCTAGAAAGAGGGCAGTAATACAAGAGGCAATTAGAAAACTCAACCCATATGTGGTAATGATTCAGGAGTCAAAAAGAGCAGATTTTGATATAAGGTGAGCTAGAAGTGTCTAGAAAGCCAGAAGAATTAGTAGGGCAGCTGCACCTTCTTGGGGATCTGCTGGAGGTATAGTGACTATGTGGAATAGTGATGTGTTAGAAGGGATTGGAAGAGATAATAAGTTCTCAGTGTCTCTGAAATTTAAGCAGGTGGAGGATGGTTTTGAATGGGTTTTAACAAATGTTTACAGGGAGAGGAGGAAACTGTGGGAAGAGTTGGGTGACATCAGGGGTTTGTGGGAAGGACCTTGGTGTCTAGAAGGTAATTTCAATGTAATAAGATTCTCGAAAGAAACAAAGTCCTAGACAGAGGGTGACCACAAGCATGAGGAATTTCAATCAATTTGTAGATGCATTTGAACTGAAAGAGATCCCTCTGGCTCATAGTAACTTTACTTGGTCTAATGTCCAAGTGAATCCCATTTGCTCCAAGTTGGATAGATTCCTTTTCTCAGCTGACTAGGAAGAACATTGGAAGAGCTTGACTTCAAGGGTCCTCCCAAGGGTGACTTCTAATCATTGGCCTATCTTGATTAGTAAAGAAGAGTTGGAAAATGTTGGGCCTGCTCCATTCAGATTTGAAAACATGTGGCTGCACCATCCTGGGTTTATTAAGAAACTTAGAACTTGTGGATGGAGAGCAATCCAACAGTGAACTGAGAAGGTATGAGGTTCCATAAGAAACTTCAATACTTAAAGGATAAAATTTAGGATGGAACCTCCTGGAGTTCAACAAACTTGAAGAAAGGAAGCAAAATGTGATTCATCAGTTGGAGGATGTAGACTTGAAAAAATTAAGGGGGTGTCTTGAAAGGGGGGATAAGGAGCAAAGGTGGAGATTGAGAAAACAGCTGGAGAATTGCTTACACAAGGAGGAAATTAGTTGGAGTTAAAAGTCTAGATGTAAATGGTTGAAGGAGAGAGACAGGAACACTAAGTTCTTTCATGCTATAGCAAATGGTAGGAGGAGAAAAACCTTCATCTCCAAATTGGAAGTTGAGGGGTCAACCTTATCCCATCAAAATGAGATTGTTGGGGCTTTTGTGGATCATTTTAAATCAATCTTTACAAGTCCCCTGAGTGGGAGGGTATGGATTGAAGGTTTAGCATGGCCAAGGTTAAGGGTAGAGGATAGGGAATGGTTGGAGAGAAGGTTTGACTTGGAAGAAGTAAAGGAAGCAGTGTTTTCTATGGATAGATCAAAAGCAACAGGTCCAAATGGTTTTACAATGGCTTTTTATCAGAATTATTGGGAGATTTTGAAGGACTTGATGTTAGTGTTTAAAGAGTTTCACATAAGAGGAGTGATTAAGAAGAGAGAAGCTAGTCACCCGAGAGACTATAGACCAATTAGCTTGGTGAACAGTTTATACAAGATTATTGCGAAAGTGTTGTCTCTAAGGATTAGACAAGTTCTCCCTTCTATTATAGCTCACAACTAAGGAGCTTTTGTGAGGGGAAGGCAAATAACTGATCAGATTCTTATAGCTAATGGAAGTGTGGAGGATCTTAAGAAATCAGGAAAAAAGGGGTTGGACTACAAATTAGATCTTGAAAAAGCTTACGACCTGGTAGATTGGTCCTTTTTGATGGAGGTGATGATAAGCTTTGGGTTTGGAGATAGATGGTGCAAATGGGTGTTGGGGTGTGTTAGGACCTACCACTACTTGATTCTAGTTTATGGGACAATGGTAGATTTTTTTCAGCTTTAAGAGGTATAAGACAAGGAAACCCCCTTTCTCCTTTCCTATTTACTTTGATTGTGAAGGTCCTAGGGAGTTTTATCTCTAGGGCAGATTCTAGGAATTTAATAAGCGCATGAAGGGTAAGCAGGGAGGACATACTCCTTACTTGCAATTTGCAAATAATACGATTTTATACAACTTTTTGAGCAATTGTCTAAATTGAAAGTTAGCTTTGAGAAAAGTTGTATAGTGGGAGTCAATATGGAGGACCCCCTTATTTTACCTTACCTTGTCAAAAAAAAACAAAACAAAACAAAAAAAAAGAAGCATTTCATTAAAATAAGAGATTAGAATACATATTAGGGGAGATAAAACATCTTAACTTCCCTAGGTTCTAGATTAAACAATCAAGGAGAGAAAAAAAAATAGTTACAAATGAGCCCAGAAAATAGCATCCCTATGCACCCCTTGCATAGCTAATCCATCTACGAATGAGTTGGCACTTCTCTTTACCCAAATACACTTTACATCAATGTCCTTCGTCAGCCACTTAAACTTCCTCTTCTCATTGTTGTGGTTCTAGAGCTCAATCTTGTCTTCCTTTAACCAGCCCACCACTATCTCAGAATCACCTTCTATGACCAGCTTATTGATGTTTAGGTCTCTTGCTCTTTTTACCCCTTCCGTGACCGCCATTACCTCGGCCCTAAGGGACTCTCCCACTCCAATTGGACCAAAAAACATGGCTATTATATTCCCTTGTTCATTCCTTAACACTCCCCCAATGCCAAATGGCCTTGGGTTTCCCAAACTACTACCATTGAAATTCAGTTTGATCAGTGATTTAAAAGGCACGCCTCATGCGTGCCTAGGCGCACAAGCGAGGCGCATTTTAGGGTAGGCACCTCGCCCAAGTCCTAGGCACAGCCCATTCAAAAGGCGCATGCCTGGTGCGCCTTGCACCTTAGCCCAGGCGTGCGCCTTTTGAAAATTTGCCACCTTTTCCTTTTTTTTGAGTCCGGCGGCTGATTCGATCGCTCACCAAAGCTTCGAGAATCCCCTATTTGGTAATGTTGTCCATTCATTCATCCTAATAAAATATCTTCTTAAAAGCAAATAAACCTATAAAATTATTATTTTTTTGTGTGAAAACTAAGAATTTAAGACTCTAACATGGACTTGTTTGGGCTTGCCTCGAGGGGTGTGGCACAAAGGCGGCTCGTAGAATTAGGAATGTAATATATTACATTAGCTACTTGATGCAATTGAGAAAAAAGAGATTGTGAGTTTTATATGCTTGAAAATTTTGTATATGTTTGATTTCGTTTTTAAATTCTCATTTGAATATGCTTTACATATTATATATGTATTTTAATTTTAGATAATAGGTTTTTTAAGACATTTATTTTAAAACTTAAGTTTATATTGTTATTAATATTATGTTTTATAATTTTTTGATTTTTTTTGCATTTTTTTATTTTTTTGAACTTTTTGCTTTTTTTTTAAATTGTGCGCCTTGCCTCAAAAATGCACGCGCCTTGCACTTTTAAAACACTGGGTAAAAATTTTATTAAAGAAGGATGAAAAGGATACAACAATTTCCGGGCATCTCATACCCAGAAAGAAGACATGTTACAGACTCCAAACAGACTGAGTACTAAGGAAATGGAAAAGATTCTGAGACTTAAACTAAGAGTTAACTGACAGCCAAGAAGCAAGCTTAGACACTGCAGCCTGAATTAATTCCTTCAAACTTCTCACTTTGTTGCAGAAAATCCTGTTGTTTCTTTCAATCCATAAAGTTACTAAAACAGCCACAGGGGTGGTTCTCTAGATCAGATTACCCTTTTTCTTCAGGCCTGGCAAATTCCAGCAGCATAGGAGATCCTTAATTGAACCAAGCATAACCCAACCGACCCCATCTGCTTTAAGAAAGTGCTCCCAAACTCTTACAGAGATAGAGAGATAGAACAATGGATGCCAAGATGATCAACTGTCTCTGGCAAAAGTCCACATAAGCCACAGCTAAGGCCTGAAGCTGAACCCCTCTCCTAACCAAATTAGCTCTCGACAGGCACTTAATTAGAGACATCACCCAAATCAAAAAATTATGCTTAGGTGGACTACAGAATTCTACACCTGCTTGCTTGGAAAATCAGACTTACTTGCTCTACTCAACTTTGAAGCCAAAGATTTAACAGTAAAAACACCATCTCCACTCCACCTCCACCTCCACTCATCCTCCATATTAGCAGAGATAGATTGCCTCTGTAACAGTTGCAGAAGGGCCAACAACTGATCCATCTCCCAGTCAAAAAGATTTTGTCTAAAAAGGGGACACCAAGAGATTGATTCCCATCACATCATAAGAACCAGCCACTGAAGCCTCGGGGCTCAGGGCACACTGAAAAAGCAGCGGAAAGGCTTCAACCAAGGGGTGTCTAAACACCAAGAATCCTTCCAAAACTTCAACCTGTCTCCCCTACCAATCTTGAGAGCAAGGCCATCAGAAAAAGTCAAGAAAGATTTCAAAATTCCTTTTCAAAGTGAGCACCCCCAACCCTGAAAGGGATCCAAAGATTTCCAACTACCCTACTCCACCCCATATTTCAAAGCAATTAGGGTCCTCCACCAAGCATTCCTCTTGACACCAAACCTCCAAAGCCATTTACTGAGAAGAGAAGAGTTGAAAACCTTCAACTTCCTAATACCCAACCCACCATCCTCCACAGGGAGGCATTTTATTCTGTCCCATTTGGAGTACGAAATTCTCTAAGAGCTGAAATTTTGGATTTAATTGAAGGGTTAAAGAGAGCAAAATCTCTGAACATTGGAAAATTAGTTATTAAAGGGGATTCCAAGTTGGTTGTGGGATGGCTGCTAAGTGAATTTGAGGAGTTTTAACAATGAAAGGAAGAAATTCAAATGGTTCACATAAAATATGGAAGTGATAGTTTGATGGGTCAAAAAGAGTGCAAATTCCTCTGCTGATGCTCTTGCTAAACAAGGGGCAGGTAGAGATCAATTTTTTTGGGGTCAGTTATAAAAAGAAGATAAGTTGTTTCAGGGAGAGATAAGAGGATTTAACTTTCTTTGCTTCTGTTTCTTTATTGTTCTCTTGAGTTTTGTTTCTAATATTAATGAATTTTACAGTTACTGATGATATATATATATTTCATACTTGCAGAAATTTATTATACAAGTTAGAAAGTAACTGACTTAGTTTTTTCCCTATTTTATAGTCAATAAAGCAGACTTGAATTAAATCCAAATCAAATAGGATCAAAATCCAATCTGAGGCCCCTAGATCTAATTGGATTTCAGAATAAAACAAAGTTTTCAATAGCAATGACTATTCATTTTGACTTCCTAGTTAGTGCAAAAAAATATATTTTTTCTTTTTTTTATAAGTAAAAAAAAAAGATATTTTCTTAATATTAGATATTGATGCAATCTTACGTATAAGTTAATATAGATAACAAATATGCAAAAAAGGAACGACAATAGAACATTTATTTCACTATCATTCTTTATAAATTATAGAAAAGGAAGGTTCGATAAGATAGGATAGGGAGTTACAACCTCTATTTTCCAAGGAAAGAGTAAAATCCTGACCATCAATGTACCCCCACCCTTTGTTTGTAAAAACTCCATACCAGCACATACTGATTTGATGGAGACTTAAAAGAACTCCTTGGCCATCCTCTTTTATTATATGTCTTATTTATAATTTTAATATCAATTAATGAATGATACCATCACAAATACTTAAAGCAACTAGCATGAATTAATCGAAGTATATGTATGATATTGTTTTAAATAATTAGTTAATAATTAATTATAGAGGTTTTATAATAACTTTATAGTTGAATAGGATGACTAGTTGCTTTTTTAATTAACCGTCCTAGTTGATTCTTAGGGACCAGCTTAATGGCTGTAACTGAAAAGTTCATTACTTTATCTTTTAGTGAATAAGTTTCATAGTATTTTATCCACTAAAAGACAAATAATAAATCCTTCAGTTCAGCAACTTAAGCTGTTATCAAATGGCTCCATAGTCATCCCCAGTAACAATAGCATGAGTATCGATCCACTAGTTAAAGAAGTGGTATGTCTGATTCTGATCCTCAATTGACCAGTCAGTTACTAGTTGACAACTAGTCCATGCTTTGATAACACTGAGGGCCCATTTGGGTGGGGCTTAACTTTAATTCAGCTGCCTTAAAGAAACTACCAGGAGAGCCATCTAAATGGTTGTAAGACACTAAGATGACACCAAAATTCTGGCTCTACAGATTTGCCAATGGGCTTTTCGGGTGGCCCCAGCCTCACAGAGCAACTGCCTGAGAGCCCTCCCAACAGGTACTGCACCAGCCAACAATCCCAGCCTGTAACAGAAATAAAGAAAGAGATGGAATGTGAAAGAAGATAAAAGCAACTAAGTACGCACCGCAAATTTCAGTGTTCTATTTCGAAGAGTGACAAGGCCAGAGAAAAGCCTAACTGCGTATTGTGCAATCTCCTCACTTTCATATTCTACAAAGGCATAACCCCTGTGCTTATTGGTCTCCTTATCTCGCGGAATGTGCAAATCAACTATCCTCCCAACCTGAATAAGGATCTCATACAAGACCCTATCACTAACCCCCTCATCCAAATTACCTATTAAAAAGTAAATTAAACAGGAAATCTGTTATTGGATTGTTATAACTAGAATTGCATATGTAACCTCACGTCATAGACCAAAAAGAATAACAGAAGACAACTAGCAAACAATGGAGACCAACCATATAACACAACAATCATACCAAAATAAAAAGAAAATTGTTACCCCTACAGCCCTACTAATAATAGTTTAAGTCAAATACAAAGTACTATCTAAGGCTCTAAGACAACCCCACCCACCAAAATAGAAAATCAAAATAAAAATAGCAGTTTCTCCAGATAAATTATAAACAACTGAGGTACAGAAGTGTTAATATAGAATTATTATAGATGAATGAAGAAAACCTGGTGTCTCACAACAGCTCCCCACTGACGACACCCTTTAATGAAGGAAGAATAATTACCGCACAGAAGGGGAAAAAACTAATGTCTGCTAATTCAGCTAAAAGAAAAAAGCACCAGAAATGGCAAATAGAATTATACAGTATTTAAGTATCAGGAAAAGTTAGGAATTATTCTTCCCACTTATCAAGTTGAGATGGTTAGACCACGGAAACATGTGTGACAAATTTGAGATTGTGAAATAAGAGAATAATCTGCATTAAACTAACCCAATGCCCTATGAAATCAAGAAGGAAGCATTAAAACTATAAAGTACTCCAATCATCGTTTATCTACAATTATAACACAGTCAGAAAACCTCTCAGGAGAGGCCAAACTACTTCAACTAAAATCGTGTGCAAAGTCAGGTCAAAATAATACTTTAAATAGTTTCTATAAAAATTTAACAAAAATATGAATAATATCAAGGATATAAAATGATATTTTTCCAAAATTCCGAACCAGTTTCCAGAATCCAGAAATCACCCAACAAATCGACTCTGAGAACCGGAGATCTCACTCCTTCCGCATCAAGATCAAAACAGAATAAAAACAACAAAACAAAAACATCAAGGGGAACAAACAAAACATTCAAACAACTCACCTATGTAAACCGTGCAACCTGGATTACCCGGCATGACTGCTTCGATTTCAACTCGATTTCAGAAAGGATAAATGAAAGAAGAGAATATCGGTCTCCAACCGCGATTCGCAGGCAGACCAAGGAAAACCCTAAAACAGAAATAAACCCAACCAAAACCCACCTACCCTTTAGGATAAAATCTAGAATCCAACGAGGCAACGAATCCGTGATCCGCCGGAACTCGAAACGTTAATCCACGTATCTAACAACTGGAGGGCTCAGGCCAGAGATCGCTTATTCTTATCTCTTTCTTTTTCTCCCTCTCTCTGTCTAACCCCTCCCACTTTTATTTTCATGATTCGCTTCCTTGTTAGAGACCGAATCGTTTTTAAAAGGCTCCGTAACCAACCGTAAATTCTAAAGTAGATATGTGTGGACTATGGTTTATATTATCATTATCCATTTCTTCTAGAAAGATAAATCAAAGTCGGTGGCGAGGGCTGTGAAAGGGGCGGGTATGAGTCCAGCCCCGAACCGATCATTAATTGGCACAAAATCACATACCTCAGAAGTCCAGAACCGTCTCTCTAGTAGTGGGAATTCGATGAACCCGATTACAGAAAACGGGTTCCCGTGTGACGCACGGAAAAAAATTGTCGGGACTAATTAGTCTTAAAATTTACGGAAAAGTACGTACAGGCGTATTGTATATTTCTGATTCTCACTACAAAGTTATAAATATTCAAAGGTCCAAAAATCACATGCACCCATACTCGTCCGTGAATTGGCATCAATTCCGAATTGCACCTATCCCAAATGTACTTCGGGTCTACAAATTTTGACCATGGGGTTATTGGTCATTCTCCCTAAAATTTATTAATTTATGGTGCAATAAATTTGGGATAGGGATGGTAATTTTCCTCATCTCCACCAAGTATCTGGTGGCCTTCCCGACCATATGGGGATGGAGATGGAGGCTACCTTAGCGGGACAGTGTTGGGATGGGATTAATAGGAACTAGGGCTATAATTGGATCGGACTCAGATCAAATTCATTAAAATTCACATTCGGCCCGACTACTAAAAACTTGCATTCAAATCTGATCCGAAATTCAATTTGATTTGAAGACCTCAAATTTGGATTTGAATCCAATGGATTCAGATTGGATTTGGATTTAATCTGACTCATCTTTTAATTTTTTAAAATACCAAAAAAATAAAAATATAATAACTTTTCAACTTTTATATATGATAAATTAATGTAAATATAGCATATTGAATTTATTATATATATTTATATATAATATAAAATATATAATATATTTTTTATAATTTTAAATATAATTATATAAAATGTATATATTAAAATCCATAAATATTATGGTATAATCATATTCATATTTTAATCGGATCGGATGGAGTCAAATCTGAATCTCATTCAGTTATTAATTAGATGTAGATTGCAACATCCGAATCTAATTCGATTACATAAATACAGCATCCAAATCCGAGATAATTGAATTGGAGGTCAGATTGGGCCTTGGATTTTCGGGTATCATTGACATACCTAATAGGAATACTCGATTGGAACGGGGAGTGAAATCCACACCCTGCCCCGACCTCGATTATATATAATATATGTGTATGTATATTATAATAAATATATAATATTATTTATGTTATTTATAATATTTTTTATATTATATATATCGAAATATATTTAAAATATTATTTCCATTTTAAATTTTCCTTTGTTTTAAATAAATACCATTTTGAAAACAAACTTGTAATTAAAAAGTTTGGGGATTCAAGCTCCAAATGGGGAACCCATCTCCTTCGAGGACTGGGGATGCAAGCTGATGAAGGGAGATTTGGCATGACCGAGTAATAGGGGGACACGTGGACACAACCTAACTAGTAAGATGACAGCTCAGACCGACGTGCCAAGTCCGCAACAGATCGAGTTCGGATAGTCCAACCACCTCGGGATGAGTTCACCTCGGTGTAAGGTCGCATAAGGACCACCTCAGTCTCAAGGCACTTCGGCGTTCACCCTAGGTCGGATCTAAAGAGCACTAGCTCAGGTAATACTGACAGACCACTACATGGCAACCCCAAAGATCTCACCATCAAATTCCGAGCCCCGTGAGATCACGCCTCATAACGGTAAGCCTTATCTCCTCCTCGCCCGGTTCGGATGAGATTGATAAGCCCTATCTGTTAACGCGGAAACGGATCTCATTGTGACGAGGATCCTAGAACCGCTCCGCGAAACCCGCGAGGACTCCACTATATAGAGGCTCTACACCCGGAGGCCCAAGGTACGCGTGATTTATATGCTCTCTAGCTCTCTGCATTCTTAAGCTATTTTTAGCTTGCAACTAGTATACTGACTTAAGCATCGGAGCGACCTCATCGGGCTAGCAACCCCGAGTCCTCTGATCTTCTTGCAGATCAATTGTTCGCCGTTTGCCTGGAAGCCAGATCACCTCCAGCAGGGAGCAGCTAGATCGAGCAGCATCATTTGGTGTCTGCTGTAGGAATACGTGACAAAAAGCCTTTCTCCACCATCAATAACAGAATCAAATCCATGGCTTCCTCCAGCAATGCCGGACAAAACAACGAAGCGAACGTCTCCGGGGGCAACCTCAGTTCCCGTCTATTTGCATCGGTCAGTTCACTATCCTGCTTACCGCGGCTGGGGTTCCAACGCTGACCGTGCCCTAAGCGACCATGCAAGTGAATGCACCACTCCCTCCTGCAGTCGGTACGACATTCGCTAAACCATCTGTGGTTCCCCTTGGAGCCGGACAATCCAAACTTGACGACCTGGTACACTGTGTTCGGCCCATTCAGTTCCAAATATAGCAGGTCCAGAAGTATCAACTCTACCAGCAGCAAGTACTTCATCAGTTCTATCAGCAACAGTACTAGCAGCAGTTCCCTCCACTGCAGCAGAATCAGCAGTCGGTTCCACCTCGGCACCCGGCAACGCAATAGAATTAGTCCCGTCGTCAGAACACTCATCCTCCTCGCCGGGGAGATACTTCCCAGGTTCCACATCCTCTTGGGAGACAGGTCTCGTCCCGCAGCAGGAGGGACAGACAAGTCACTCCTCCCACTTCGCAAAACGTGAACATATTGGGAGACACTCAGCCCACCAGAGCCATTTCACCCCGGCCCTTGCATCATGAAGGTTCGCTTATAGGGAACCGGTTTGGGGTTCTGGCCGCGGACTCCCGGCGAGGCTCTTCTATTCACGGTAGCCAGCAGCATCAGCAGTCCGAGCCACTTCGTGCCAGGACAATACCCGACCACACAGAGGTCAACAACACCAATGCGGAGCCGATTAAGAAGCAGCAAAGAAGGCGTCATAAAGCACGCCGAACTGCAGTTCCAAGCCAGCTCGCCAGTCCTAGTCAACCTGAACAGATAAAAGGTAAAGAGAAGGCAAGCTCAGAAGACACAAAGACCGGTCCCCTCCTCTCCGGGTTATCCCCTTTGTCCTCCGAGCTCCTGGTGACCCCAATGCCGAAGGACTTCAAAGTACCTCCGCTGGACAAGTACGACGGATCGTTCGATCCAAATGATCATGTGGACTCATTCCAGTCCCAGATGCATCTAGCTGGGGCTGACTTGTCCTACATGTGCGTTGCCTTCTAATGTGTGTGCATGCTACACATCATTTTTTATTATTGTATACATGGTTTTAATGATGTTTTGCAATGGTTTTTACCCTAATTGAGCAGAATTGCAGGAAACTAGGAGTTTGGGACAATCTAGGGTGAAGAGAGCATAATTCAGCCCATCAAGAAGAGAAGTCCAATCGAAACCCCATGGGAAGCACTAAAGCCACCAAGGAGAGAGGCCCAACTGAAGCCTTATGGGAAAACAGTAGTTCGGCCCAACAAGGAGAACAACCCAACAACAGTTTGGCCCACTAAGAACAACAGCCCAACTGCAGCCCTAAAGGGAGGCCCCAAAAAGGCGGCTGATTTGAGAGAATGAAGGAGGCTGAAGGGAAGAGTATAAAAGAAATGAAAAAGAAGAAATTAGGGTTCGGACCCCTGAAGACAAAACAAAAGAAGAAGAAGAACTTCTAGAGAAGAGAAAAGGCTATTGAATGCGAATTGAAGAGGTGATTGAAGATTGATGCATAAATCTTAGGTTGTCTTCTTCTTTGATTCTGCAATTTGGTAACCTAGATTCGATTAGGGTTTCTTGATGTTTCTTTATTGAATCTTTCTTTTCTTGTTTCTTTTATGCGAACCATGATGGACTTCAAATCTGATATGTAATTAATATTTTAGCAGATCCGATTGATTGTGATTCATTCTTGGTATTCTTGATTAGGGTTTTCGATTAATAGAATAATCTTGGCCGAATTGTTCTTATTTCTTGGATTACTTGAATTGCTTGAGAAAGAATTTAGGTAATCAGATCATCTAATCAAGAAAATGGACTGAATGCATCTTAGAGATAATTTGCATGGTCCGTTTGGCATTTATTCATACCTGAATCGATGACCTTCGAGTTCTTTGTTCTTAATGCATCTATGGTGATTAAATTTCTGATAGAGATATAGGAATTATTGCTCATAGATAGAGTGGGTTGTGGTTAAGAGAGGCTGCTCATAAAATTAGGGTTTCTTCAACCCAAGACTGAATTCACTTCAGTTGGGCTACTTAAAGATTTAATTGCTGAACCGGTTCTGCTAGTTTCTTGCATGCAGTAATTATTCTTATCATTAAAGGTGGTCTGATCCGAAACTGCTTAGGGTAGTTTGCTAATTAGGAGTTAGGGTTTTTATTTGTTTAATATTTCAGTTTATCAGATAACAAAAGACTGATTCAGTACTAGTAGTTGTTGGATCAATCCTCGTGGGAACGATACTCTACTCATCATTGTATTCTTTGATCGGCTAGTGCACTTGCTAGTGTCTTCTAAGCGCATCACCTTCTCCATGACATTCAAAGGGGTAGCTCGCACATGGTATAGGAACCTCGCGCCAGGGACGATCAAAAGCAGGGCGCAGTTCGTGCAGATGTTCACCTCGCACTTCATCACCAGCAAGAAGTGCCCGAGGTCTCAAGAAAGCCTCCTCAGCATAGTCCAAAGAGAAGGGGAGTCGATCTGAAGCTACATAAAACGCTTCAATGACACCTGTTTACAGATCCCCGACCTGGATTCCGCTATAAGACTCATGGCAACAAGGAGAGGAATTACACACAGGGAATTCAAGTGGCACGTGGTAGCTAACAAGCCCAAGGACATCACTGAATTCCTCAAGCTCGCCGACTAGTTCATCGGGATAGAAGAGGAGATGAACCAGAACCAAAAGAGCGAAAACCCAATGGAGAAGAGAAAAAGAAAAGGTGACAACTCGAATAACGGTGGCAGTAAATGAAGAAA